CCCACCCACAGGATCGACCCAAGGGGATCGACCTGCTCTGATAGCATGTCAGAACTAGCAGTAGAAAGTAAGAATGAAGAAAGGAGGGGTTTCACTAGCAAGCAGTTGAGTACATATAGGAAACCCTAGATTGGGCTGTACTCGCTATAGAGCACCCCACTGCAGGCTAGACAAATACAACATTCTGACATGAACAGGACACTCCAGAACACCATGCGGAAACTGTTACGTGGAATGCGGCTACCCACCCACCAGTGGCCAGAAGCAATGGACCACGCCGTGATGCTGCACAACTTGCTTTCTTCATCGTCACTGCCGAACAACACATCACCGCATCTGCTGTGGACAGGAAAACTGGGCAGCACAAAAATGTTACGAGTCTTCGGCTGCATGGTACAGTACCGACCTCCATCTGCACGAGCAGGACGATTCTCCCAACGGGCACAGTGGGGACTACACCTGGGCATTGAAAAACACTACAACGCATGGAAGATTTTCGACGTCGAGACAAAAGAAACAGTGGCAGCACGTGATGTCATTTTCTACGAGCGGCTCACCTTGCGAACGTACCTTGCCAACCTGGACGAAAACCAAGACCCCACAGGTGGCTTCCGAGGAGACCGAGCCTTCGCTTCGGCAGAAGACGAAGCTGACTGGGACGAGCAGAACGTGGAAGGAGCCTCGGAAGAAGCCGGACCCCTCCCGTACTGCTCCGTCGATGTCCCAATGGATGACAAAAATCCACGCGAAAGTAACAACGCCGAAGTCTTCTACCACTTCGCCGACAACGGTTACGTTACACCTGCACAAGTCAACACCGACGAAGCAGAACGCGTAGGACCTAATTTCGCACCTGATCAAGAAGCGGGAGACGAAGCAGTTTATCCAGAGGACACTTCACTCCCCCGCTACACACAGAGTGGGCTCCAAATCCTTGGACTCGTCACCGCAGTCCACGGCACCGCCATTCCTAAAGAGCCTGCGACGGTTCAACAGGCTCTGGGGGGGGAGCATAAAGAAAAATGGCGCGAAGCCATGGACAAGGAGCTGAAGGCACTGGAGGAACGCAACACGTGGAAAGTGGTTCCTATCGGCGTGGCACGGAACAAGACAGTGCTCACCGGGAAGTGGGTCTTCCTTGTGAAGACAAAGGCTGACGGCACCATTGAAAATTTTAAAGCTCGCTGGGTTATACGCGGCTTCGACCAAGAACACGGACGCGATTTCACCGAAACTTTTGCTCCGGTTAGCCGTCACACCTCACTACGCATTCTCCTCGCCATCGCCGCCATGAAGAAGAAGAAGCTGCGGCAAATTGACGTCGCGAACGCGTTTCTCTACGCACCTGTTGATGCAGAAATTTTCGTCGAACTACCGCACGGCTCCCACGGAGAACCTAATCAAGTCTGTCAGCTAATCAAGTCACTCTACGGCATCAAGCAGGCTCCACGACTGTGGCAATAGTACCTGCACGCTCGCCTCATCCGCATCGGCTTCAAGCAGCTACCGCACGATCAAGGCATGTACCGGCTCACAAAAAACGACGACTACATCCTACTAATCGTCTACGTGGACGATCTCCTCTACATCGGATCAACCGACAGCGTCACCACTTGGTTCGAAGGGGAGCTGCAGCGAGATCTCACGCTCACAGTTTCACCTACCGTCACTCAGTACCTCGGCCTCAACATCCGGGAAGAGGAGGACGCGATCTACCTCAGCGCCGAGAAATATGCCGACACCATCGCTAAGCGCTTTACGCTCACACCGACAGCCATCTCCACGCCATACCGCTACACGTCAGGAAACGACAAGGAAGGCTCCGCTCTACTCAAGCCTGCCGGCATACGAGACTACCAAAAGAAGCTGGGATGCCTTCTCTTTGCAGCTGTCACCTGCCGCCCCGACCTCTCATACTCCGCAAGCCAGCTCGCTACCTACCTCAAGAAGCCTGAAGCAGAACACCTGGCGGAGCTCGACCGCGCTCTTCACTACTTCGTCAGCACCTCAACGATCGGGTTAACTTATCACAAGAACGCAACCACACCGACTAAGTTAATCGGCTACGTCGACGCCGATCACGCTGGCGACTCCGACAATAGGCGCTCCCGCACCGGCTACGTCTACCGCCTCGAACCTATCGGACCTATCTCTTGGCAGTCGAGCAAGCAGGAATTAATTGCTCTCTCGTCAGCTGAAGCAGAATATATTGCACTCTGCTCAGCCACCAAGGAAGGACTCTATCTTCGCGAGCTGCTGGAAGAAGCGAAGTTAGCCGAGTTACCCAACTTTACCCTGTTCTGCGACAACCAGTCGGCAATTCGCATCGCCAACAAGAACGGCTTCGCGAACAGGACGAAACACATTGCCCTGCGATATTTCTTCGTGAAAGATGAGATCGAGAAGGGAAGGCTCGAGCTGTCATACTGTCCCACGTCCGAGATGGCAGCTGACTACCTGACCAAGAAGCTCGGAAAGCAGAAGTTCGAATACTGCATGCTGCTGACTGGACAGAGCCACGTCAGCGACACTCCAGAAGCGAAGGGGAGTGTTGGAAACAATCGGTCTTAAGCGCCTCTGTTCGTGTCGAAACACTAAGGCATAAATGAGGCAGAGTATATCGAAGCACCGACGAGTCAACCCTCGGAGGTTGAAGTAACCGCTGGAGGTTACGGGAAGTCAAAGGTCAGCGACCTTTGACCTGACGAATACAGCGCGACAGCAAGGACACACAACTGACTCGCTACAGAGCAGTTGCCCGAGTCGTCACTGTATCGAACCGCAACAGCAACAGTAAAGTAGTTACAACCGTACCTCTTCGTATTCCTTGTACTCTTATATATATTCTTGTATCTCTTTGTTTTAATCAACTGACTTTGCCCTCACATACTAGCGCAAGGTGGTTCACAACTCTTCAATTAAACGCTTCCGCTACTACACCAACTCTACCCAGAATTCACCCCTGCAAAGATCCTAAGGGCCTCTTTCAGCCCAACAAGAGATACGTAACTGCACTGCACTAGCTAATTTCGTATGCATTGTAGCGAGCTAAAAAATTAATCCGAGGGTTGAACTTGGCAAGTGAACTCGTAAAAATTGCGAATAAATGATTGGGGTTAATCCAAAATAGTACCTAGATCTTGGTAAGTTTGTATAAGGATTTATGATTTATTTCTGTAGATTACTTTGGCTTGCATGTACCGAATTCAACTGGTTCGGCCTACGTTTTCACCCCGAACCACTTCCGATTCGCTACCGGACCTTTTTGCCAACTTCCGAGCCTCTTCCCCGAGGACCTTGCCTAGCTCGGCTCTGTCTATTTTTCCCTCGTTTTAGACACTTGTATGACATTCAGGTCGGTAGTTGTAAAAGCCTCGCACTCGTAACAGTATGTTCATCGATTTTTTTTTTTTTTTCGAATTGGCCGCTTTCTGGACTCTCTAGGAGTACACGGACCCGCGTTCAGGATGTGGCGTCAGTTAGTGGCTTGATCATACCGGAAACGCGGTGAGGGGTGGGAGAAGGGGGAGGAGGAGGGCGGAAGGGGGGCGAAGGGGCAGGCGGAGGGGTGGGGACGGGCGGGAGAGAGGGACGGGAGGAGAGCGTGGGAAAGGGGCGAGAGACGGGTTGCGAGGGGGGCTGAGTAGAGGGGCGCAAGTGGGGGAACGAGGGGGGATTTGGAAGAGAGCGCGGAGAGGGGCGCGGAGGGGTCCTGGGGGGAACTGGCGGGAGGGACCGTGTCCCGGAGGCGGCGCTGCCGAGAAAGCGGCGGTCCCAGTGGCGGTGTGAAGAGGCGGTGGAAGCTCGCGCCAGTCGCGCTCCGCCTGGATCACTTCCTTGCCGCCACCCCTGCCGCCGGCGCTACCGCCACTGCCACCGCCGCCACTCCCGCTGCGCGCGCGCACCTACCGCAGCCTCCCCGAGAGTCCACAGATATTGGCTTACGCGCCAGCCGGAGGGGGAGCGCAGATAAGGGCAGCAGTGACGGGCGGCTGTGCAGAGGGGGAAGGGGAGACGGAGTGGGGAGGGGAAGCGCAGGGAGGGGAGGGGGAAGGGGGAATGCGGGCGCGTGTGGTTTGGACTTGGCTGAAACGAGGCGAGGGGTCAGAGGGGAGGGAAGGCTCAGGGAGGGGAGTGGGGTGCATAAGGTTAGGGGAGGGCGGGATGGAGGGCAGGCATGTGAGAGGCACGGGGTGGGTGGAGCATGCGAGGCGTGAAGGGGGTTGGTGCTGGCACAGTGGTGGAGGTGGGAGATTCAAGAGTAGGGTCAGAGGGGGGAGAAGGGCGGGTAAGGTTAGGGGAGGGTGGGATCGAGGGCAGAAGGGAAGAGGGAGGGCGGTGGGAGAGGAAGTAGCGGAGTGCATGGGAGAGGCGAGGGCTAATGAACGAGGGGCAGGTGGATGGGAGGCGGGTGGGTAGGCGAAGGCGAGGGAGGAGGGAGGAGAGAAGGGAGGGGAGGGGAAGGAAGGTGAGGAGAAGAGTGGGGAAGCGAAGGAAGGGGAGGGAAATGGAGGGAAGGAGAAGGGAGGGGAAGAGAAGAGAAGTTAAAAAGGCAAACTCAGCCGACCACCGGCGTGGATGCATGCAGCAGGTGAGGCGAGGCGTTTTTACAATTCTCAAACCCACCCTGATGAAACTTCAGTCCATCCTGCCATGCTTCACGTTCACAGCCCTGCCTCTAACCGCCCGCGCAGGCCACCTAGCCAAGATACACCTAGCCCAGATACACCTAGCCCAGATACACCTAGCCCAGATACATCTAGCCCAGATACACCTAGCCCAGATACATCTAGCCCAGATACACCTAGCCCAGATACACCTAGCCCAGGTACACCTAGCCCAGGTACACCCATCCAAACGTTATCACCCCGGATTCCACTGCACTAGTGGCTGCACTGCTGGCCCAACCCCTTTTCCTCCCTCCCACCTCTCCCTGCTGTCTTTCTCTCTCTCCCCCATCTGGCCCCGCTCCCCTTTCACCCCCAATATTCCCCTCCCAGGTACACCCACCAGGTGTTCACTCCCGGGCTCAACACCCTGGAGGTGGCTGTACTGCTGGCGGAGGTACTGCTGGCGGAGGTATTGCTGGCGGAGGTACTGCTGGCGGAGGTGAGTCGCTGTCACAACGAGTCCAGCAGGATCGAACCACCCGAGGGCCTTTCCAGCAGAACCTGCTCAAGGCGACTCCCTTTTCCACCTTTCTGAAAACGCCCTCAAGGCTAGCCCTGGCGTTGCAATTGCAATTGCAATGCAGCCACCCTGCAGTAACCACGACACTGCGGTTGGGGCAGAAGGCGTGCCTCCTCCCCTCTCCCCATGCCCCCTCCCCTTCCACGTCCCCCTTCCCCCTCCCCCTCACCCCCACTCCCCCCTCCACATCACCATCCATTCCCATCCGCCTTTGGCCGCCAACACATGGCTGGGAACAGGGAGCGATGGGGCGGCAGGACGGCAGGCAGTGGAATGCAAGGCTGAAGGAGATCCTCCCATTTTCCTCCCTCCCCCCTCCTCCACGCACAGGGAGCGATGAGGCGCCGTGTGCTTGCAGGGCTGGAGGAGAATACAAGCTTTCTGCAGTTCGAGGAGGTCCCCTTCCCCGCCACAGCCCCCCCTCCCCTTTCTTCCCCACTCCGTCCTTCCCCATGCACAGGGAGCAATGAGGTGCCGTTTGCTAGTGGGGCTGAAGGGGGTCAATCCTCTCCCCTTCCCCAACCCCCTCTCACTTAAACCATCCATGCACAGGAAGCAATGAAGCACCGCGTGCTAGCAGGGCTGAACGAGGTGGGGCAGGCAGGCAGTGCAAGGCGGAAGGAGATCCCTCCTCCCTTATTCTTCATAGCCCCACACATGCATGGGATGGGAGCAGGGAGCGATGAGGAGCCATGTGCTGGTAGGGCTGAAGCGGATGGGACGGGCTGTATGGGACTGAAAAGAATTCCCTCTTTCTCCTCCCTCCCTCCCTCCTTCCCCGCGCCGCTCACAGGGAGCAGTGCGGCACCGCGTGCTAGTGGGGCTGAAGGAGGTGGGGCAGGCGGTGCGCAGTGGGAGGGCCAAGTGTGTGGTGCTGGCGCCTAACGTGGAGGAGGTGCCTGGGGCAGGTGAGGAGAGGGGGATGAGGGGAGGGAGGTGAGGGGACGTGAGGGTGGGGTAATGAGGGGTGGCGCTGGAGATGCAGGTGTGTGGTGGTGGCAGCTGCTGTGGAGGAGGTGTGTGGGGCAGGTTGAGCGGGGGGAGATGGTGGTGGATGGTGCATCGTGGGGTGGGGTAGGGTACGCAGTGGAAAGGCCAAATGTACCTTGCGCCCAGTGCTTGCACCCAACGGGGAGGGGAAAAGGCGCCTGGGGAGGGTGGGAAAGAGGAGGGTAAGGTATGGATGGGAGGTGAGAGGAAGGGTTAGAGTTGTTAAGTGCGTGGTGCTGGCTATCTGCATAGGAGGGTTGCCGTGGACAGATGAGAGGAGGAGAGGGGGGTGGGTGTGGGCAGGAGGAAAGGAGGGTGGGAGGGTTCCACTTGCCCCTCACAACCCCCTCGCACCCCCGAGGATCACCTTGCCGTGGGCTGCTGCTGTCGGCAGGCTCTGGGACACATGGCACATGCAGTGAGTGTTATGCCCACTAACCATGCCCAGTTACCCATGCCCATCCACCCATGTCGCCTCACACATGCCCATTCACCCATGTCCCTTCACACATTCCCTTTCACCCATGTCCCTTCACACATGCCGATTCACCCATGGCCCTTCACACATGCCCATTCACACATGTCCCGTCACATATTCCCCTTCACTCGTGCCCATCACCATCTTCTGTCACCACCACCACCACCTTCACTCACATCATTGACGCCCATCCGACCCTAAAGATGCACCCGTCCTCTTCCTCGCCTTTCACCAGGTAAGCTGTGGGGGCGGTCTGTGCCTTTCCACCGGGTGGTCTCCAGGAAACTACCAGGTGGCTTCCAGGAAATAACTAGGAGCTTATGAACAGGTGACTATCAGGTGGCTATGTGTTGAGCTATTGGGTGAGTTGTAGGGGGGTATGTGGGTGGTTTGCTGCACCTGAACGCCCTACTAGCCCCTGTGCCTCATGTCTGCTGTTCCAATCTTCCACTTCACTGCTTTTGTCTCAGCGTGACATCACCATTTCTCCAGATGTGTATTTTGATACCTAGGTGTCTCAAATCTTTTTGACTTTGTTTCCCCTTCCTTCTTTCTTCTTCTCTCGACAGTTCTTTCAGTGACTTCTCCGTTGAACAAGCATTCTGTACCGAATTCCTGGTGAGGGGGAGATGGTAGAGGGTGCCTTGCGCACAAGAGGGGGAGATGGTGGGAAAGTGGAGCAAGCACGAGGGGGAGAGGGTAGTGGCTAAAGCAAGAGGGGGGGAGATGGTGAAGAACCATGAGTCAAACCGAGGCAACTACAATCAGTTTGTGGCTTGACATGGCAGTCCCCTGAGTGGCTTATCCATTGCACTGAACTCCTGGTGAGGGAGTGAAGTGTCTGTGAGGCAGAGATGGGTGAGAAGGGAATGAGGAAGGTGAGAAGAGGAGAGGAAGAGGGAACGGTACAGTATGGTTGATGGATTCTACTCAAATGCTGTTGTCACATCCGTTGTAGTCTAGTCGGTTAGGATACTCGGCTCTCACCCGAGAGACCCGGGTTTAAGTCCCGGCAACGGAATCGTTTTTGGCGGGTTTGGAAGACACACTTCGGTAAGTGGTCACAGGAGACACAACCCAAAACATTGACAATGCGTGTTGTGCACAATTGACCTCACAGGGTTCCTCTTGCCTCCCGCCGTCCAAACAAGGTGGTTTTGCAACTGAGAGGGAGCGATGAGGGAAGGAGTGTCTTTTTGTTCCATAACTTCAATGGCTATGCCATTCCCCAACTCTCACTGCCCTTGCTTCAGAAGCAAATAGTTTTTCTAGTCTACGCATGTATGGGCATACAAAAAGGACACAAACAACCTCTTCTTCCACCTTCCCATGCTGCCTCATGCTGCTTCTCTTGCCCCTTACCCTTCCTGTCACCTGCCCCTTTCTCCCATCCCCTTGAGAACCTTTGAGCGTATAAGAAGGGCCGAACGAGCATCTTCTTCCCTACTGCTGCCCTTGCTTCTTTCCTTTCTCATTACCCTTCCTGTCCTGTGCCCCGTTCTGCCCCGCCTCCGCACGCTTCAGAGCCTCTAGACGTACAAGAGGGATCCAAGGCACCACTTTCTCAGCTACGCCATGCTGCCCTCTGCTGTTTCTCTGTCTTCTTCCTGTCCCCTTACCTTATTTGATGGCCCCTTTCACTCCGTTCCCTCCCGCCAACCCCTTCAAAACCACTTGGCGTACAAGAAGGACCCAAGCAACCTTCCGAGCTATGCCATGCTGCCTCCTGCTGTTTCTTTTGGTATCTTCCTTTCCCCTTGCCTTTCGGTCACATGCCCTTTGCTGTCCCTTCCGCCCCATCTTCCCCCACCCCCTTCAGAACCACAAGGCATACAAGAAGGAACTCAAAACCCTCTTTCTCGGCTATGCCATGCTGCTGCCCCAGGCTGCCTCCTCTCTAGCCTCGTTTCTTAAACCCTTTCTGTTCCCTTCCAGCCCATCCCCTCAACCTTTCCAACCCTTGCCCATCTCGCCCGTTCTCCCCTCCCCTCCCCCCTCTTTCAAAACCATTGGGTGTACAAGAAGGATTCCCGAAATCTGTTTCCCGGTTACACCATGCTGCACCTTGCTACTGCCTTTGCGCCCCGCCGCCCGCCTTGTGGGCGGAAGAGGAGGATGAGAGGGAGAGGTGGAGAGTGGGTTTGGGCGGCAGATCTTTTTGGTCAGAGTATTCAGTACAGTGCTGTTGGCGATGCCGTAAGTGATGGTGGTTGGGACTGATACAAGAGGAAGAAACAAGATAACAGAAAGGGTAAGGGGAACGGAAGAGAGTTGCATGTGATGGTGGTTGGATGGAGTTTCCCCGGCCCCTCCGCCGCCGCCAGGCAGAGTACTCGATCCACCCCAATCATCCCCCACCACCTCACTCTCCGCCTCTCCCACCACCATCTCACTCCCACTACCATCTCACTCCCACCACCATCTCACTCAAACTCCTCCCTCTAGGAAGCTAGGCTGCAGCAGTCAAATAAGGAGTCATGCCACAACGGAGAATTTCCAACAAGGCAGGCAGCTTGGGTTGATTGTGTTACGGTTTGTGCCCCTTCACAAAATATAAAGAAACGTATTGTTACCAGTATTAATACCGTACATTACGTCGATGTATTGCACTAGCTAGGTTCGTTCGTATGCGTTGTAGCGCATGAATATTTTTTTTCGCGATAGTTGAAATTGGCAATTGACCTTGTAGCGTTTGAAGAGAGATTTATTGGTTATATTTTATGATTCTACACAGAACCTGACTCATCTCAATTTCTATAAGGTAGTGTAATCTGTTTCTGTAGGAGTGTAATCTGTTTCTGAAGGATTGCTTTAGCGAGGGTGTTCCGAGGTGCTCGCGTCAGCTGGTTCAGCCTAAAAGTTCGCCCCGAACCACTTCCGAGCCGCCACCGTGCCTTTCGCCACACTTCCGAACCTAGCTACGCCGAGGTTCTCGCCTAGCTCGACTCCTAAATATATAATCTTGTTTTGAACATTCATTGGGTATTCAGTAGCGCTCTTCAGATTTCAAAATTTAGTACATTTCAGTACATTCTTGAAACATTCCCACTCATAACGAATCACTCCTTTGTGTCAGCCGAAATTGTGTCGGGCCACCATTTGCGGGCCGCTGGCTAGGCTGGAGTCACAGGGCAGGAGGACCCGTCGCTCGGTAGAGATCGCGTCGAAGCGACAGACAGGGTGACGAGAGCGCAACGGACGGCGACGAAACCGTGACAGACAGGGCGACGAAAATGCGACAGATAGAACGACAGTAGACGACGAAACAGGGACAGACAGAGCGACACTAGATGACAAGAGCAAGAAGAACGGCAGAGGGGCGAGGAGCAGCGGCAATGGCGGATGGGGGAAGCACGGGCGCGCAGGCGAGGCTTCCGGCGGCTGCAGTGGCGGAAACAGCACCGTCGCTGTGAGCACCACAGCGGCGGCGCCGGCACTGGCGCGAAGAGGCGGTGGAAGTCCGCGCCAGTTGCGCTCCCCCTGGACCACTTCCTCGCCGCCGCTACCGCCGCCATTCCTGCTGCACGCGCGCCTCTACCGCCGCCTCCGCGAGAGCCCGCGGAAATCGGTTTGAGCGTAAATAGGCTCAGAAATGACGGGCGGCCGCGCGGAGGGGGAAGGGGAGGCGGAACGGAGAGGGGAGTCGCAGGGAGGGGAGGGGAATAGGTGGATACTAGCGCGTGTGGTTTGGGTTCGGCGGAAATGATGCGAGGGGTGGGAGAACGGGGGGCAGGAGGGCGGAAGAGGGGAGAAGGCGCAGGCGGACGGGTGGGGACGGGCGGGAAAAGGGGAAAAACGGGGGTAAGGTGTGAGAGGGCGTGCGCGAGAGAGGGTGCGTGGAGACGCGCTGTGGAGGGGTGGGTGAAGGCAGCAACTTTGGAGAGAATTGGTGTGAGGCGGGGGAAGGAGAGGCAGACACCGAATTGGAAGCGAGCGAGCCGCTTGAAACGCATGGTGGTGCTGGCGACACAGGCGCGCGAGCGTGGGCGGCAGTGCGAGCGCGTGCGCAGGTGGCAGCGTGCGCAGTAGCGCGAGTGTGGGGGGAGGGGGAGATGGGGGAGGGGTGGATGGGGAGACGGGGACCTCAGGGTAAAGGACGCATGGGAGCAGGGAGCTATGCGGCGGCGCATCCCCTGCATCCCCCTCTCCCTCCCCATCCCCCCCGCAACGACGCACAGGAGCAGGGAGCGATGAGGCGGCGGGTGCTGGCAGGGCTGAAGGAGGTGGGGCAGGCGGTGCGCAGTGGGAGGGCCAAGCGTGTGGTGCTGGCGCCTAACGTGGAGGAGGTGAGTGGGGCAGGTGAGGGGAGGGAGCTGAGGGGAGCGAGGTAAGGGGAGGGGTAGGTGAGGGGAGGAGAGGGAGGTGAGGGGAGGGAGTTGAGGGGAGGAAGGTGAGGGGAGGAGAGGGAGGTGAGGGGAGAGAGGTGAGGAGAGAGAGGTGAGGGGAGAGAGGTGAGGGAGGGGTAGGTGAGGGGGAGGGGAGGGAGGGAGGTGAGGGGAGGGAGTTGAAGGGAGGAGTAGGTGAGGGGAGGGGAGGGAGGTTAGGGAGGGGTAGGCGAGGGGAGGGGTAGGCGAGGGGAGGGGTAGGCGAGGGGAGGGGTAGGCGAGGGGAGGGGTAGGCGAGGGGAGGGAGGTGAGGGGAGGGACGTGAGGGTGGGGTAATGATGGGTGGCGCTGGAGAGGCAAGTGTTTGGTGGCGGCAGCTACTGTGGAGGAGGTGTGCGGGGAAGGTGGGGGGGGGAAAGATGCTGGTGTGGGGGGGAGAGATGCTGGTGTGGGGGGGAGAGATGCTGGTGTGGGGGGGAGAGATGCTGGTGTGGGGGGGAGAGATGCTGGTGTGGGGGGGGAGAGATGCTGGTGTGGGGGGGAGAGATGCTGGTGTGAGGGGGAGAGATGCTGGTGTGGGGGGGAGAGATGCTGGTGTGGGGGGGAGAGATGCTGGTGTGAGGGGGAGAGATGCTGGTGGATGGCGCATGGTGGGGTGGGGTAGGCGGTACGCAGTGGAAAGGCCAAATGTGCATTGCACCCAGTGCTGCCACCCAACGGGGAGGGGGAAAGGCGCCTGGGGAAGGTGAGAAAGATGAGGGGAAGGTATGGATGGGAGGCGAGAGGAGGGGTAAGAGTTGTTAAGTGCGTGGTGCTGCTGCTGGCTATCTGGGGGGGAGAGATGCTGTGGGAAGGTGAGAGGGGGGCGGGTGTGGGCAGGAGGAAAGGAGGGTGGGAGGGTTCCACTTGCCCCTCACAACCCCCTCGCACCCCCGAGGATCACCTTGCCGTGGGCTGCTGCTGTCGGCAGGCTCTGGGACACATGGCACATGCAGTGAGTGTTATGCCCACTAACCATGCCCAGTTACCCATGCCCATCCACCCATGTCGCCTCACACATGCCCATTCACCCATGTCCCTTCACACATTCCCTTTCACCCATGTCCCTTCACACATGTCCCTTCACATATTCCCCTTCACTCATGCCCATTTCCATCTTCTGTCACCACCCACCACTGCACACCACCACCCACTACCTCACACCACCACCGTGCAGGTATCTGCCTTCATGCGCCCATCCTCTTCCACGCCTTTCACCAGGTAAGCTGTGGGGGCGGTGTGTGCCTTCCCACCAGGTGGTTTCCAGGAAATTACCAGGTGGCTTCCAGAAAATCACTAGGAGCTTATGAACAGGTGACTACCAGGTGGCTATGTGTTGAGCTATTGGGTGAGTTGTAGGGGGGTATGTGGGTGGTTTGCTGCACCTGAACGCCCTACTAGCCCCTGTGCCTCATGTCTGCTGTTCCAATCTTTCTCTTCCACTTCACTCCTCTTGTCTCAGCGTGACATCACCATTTCTCCTCTCGACAGTTCCTTTCAGTGACTTCTCCATTGAAGATCATTCCGCACCAAAGTCATGGTGAGGGGGAGATGGTGGGGGGTGCCGTGAGCACGAGAGGGAGAGATGGGGTGATGGAGCAAGCACGAGGGGGATTGGGGGAGGTGGTGGGGTAGTGGAACAAGCCCGAGGGGGAGAGGGGGAGGTGGTGGGGTAGTGGAGCAAGCACGAGGGGGAGAGGGGGAGATGGTGGGGTAGTGGATCAAGCACGAGGGGGAGAGGGGGAGATGGTGGGGTAGTGGATCAAGTACGAGGGGGAGAGGGGGAGATGGTGGGGTAGTGGATCAAGCACGAGGGGGAGAGGGGGAGATGGTGGGGTAGTGGATCAAGCATGAGGGGGAGAGGGGGAGATGGTGGGGTAGTGGATCAAGCATGAGGGGGAGAGGGGGAGATGGTGGGGTAGTGGATCAAGCACGAGGGGGAGAGGGGGAGATGGTGGGGTAGTGGATCAAGCACGAGGGGGAGAGGGGGAGATGGTGGGGTAGTGGATCAAGCACGAGGGGGAGAGGGGGAGATGGTGGGGTAGTGGATCAAGCACGAGGGGGAGAGGGGGAGATGGTGGGGTAGTGGATCAAGCACGAGGGGGAGAGGGGGAGATGGTGGGGTAGTGGATCAAGCACGAGGGGGAGAGGGTCGTGGCTAACGCTGAGGGGGGGAGAACCATGAGTCAAACCGAGACAACTACAGTCAGTTTGTGGGTTGACACGGCAGTCCCCTGAGTGGCTTATCCATTGCCGACGTCTTCAGCACTGCCCTCCTGGTGAGGGAGTGGAGTGTCTGTGAGGCAGAGATGGGTGAGAAGGTGAAAAGAGGATAGGAAGAGGGGCCGGTAGAGTATTAGTGTTAATTGCTTAATTACAATTGTCACATCCGTTGTAGTCTAGTCGGTTAGGATACTCGGCTCTCACCCGAGAGACCCGGGTTCAAGTCCCGGCAACGAATCGTTTTTGGTGGGATTGGAAGACACACTTCAGGTTGTGGTCACAGGAGTCCCAACCTAGAACGTTGACAGTGTGGGTTGTGCACAATTGACCTCACAGGGTTCCTCTTGCCTCCCGCCGTCCAAACAAAGTGGTTTTCCAGCGATGAGGGAAAGAGTGTCTTTTTGTGCCATTCCCCAGCTCTCACTGCCCTTGCTTCAGAACCAAATGATGTTAGTAGTCGACAAATACAGAAAAGGCACAAGCAACCTCTTCTTCCACCTTCCCATGCTGCCTCATGCTACTTCTCTTGCCCCTTACCCTTCCCGTCACCTGCCCCTTTCTCCCACCCCCTTGAGAACCTTTGAGCGTACAAGAAGGGCCAAACGAGCTTCTTCCTCCCTGCTGCTGCCCTTGCTCCTTTCCTTTCTCGTTACCCTTCCTGTCCTGTGCCCCGCTCTGCCCCACCTCACTTCAGAACCACTAGTTGTACAAAGGGATCCAAGGAACCACTTTCTCAGCTATGCCATGCTGGCCTCTGCTACTTCTTTGTCTTCTTTCTGTCCCCTTACCTTATTAATTGTTCCCTTTCACTCCATTCCCTCCCACCAACCCCTTCAAAACCATTTGGTGTACAAGAAGGACCCGAGCAACCTTCCCAGCGATGACATGCTGCATCCTGCTGCTTCTTTTGGTATCTTCCTTTCCCCTTGCCTTTCGGCACATCCCTCTTACCTCTCCACAGCCCCTCTTCTTTTCTCCCCCCTCACCGTAAATCCTCCCTCCTTCCTCATGTGTTGTGCAGGGAGTGACGCAGAGGCGTGTGCTATCAGAGCTGGAGGAGGTGGGGCAGGGGCGGTGTGGGGTTCAAGGACATGAATCCCTCTCTACTTTCCCACGCCCCTCCCACTTACTCCGCCCCACCTCCCCGCGCACAGGAGCAATGAGGCGGAGTGTGCTAGCAGGGATGAAGAAAGTGGGGCAGGCGGTACACAGTGGGAGGGCCAAGTGTGTGGTGCTGGCGGCTTATGTGGAGCCTGGGACACGTGAGGGGGGTGATGAAAGGCTAGAGACTGGGTAATGGTTGTCATTCTGATGCTTGTTGTGTGTGTGTGTGTTGTGCATGGCGACTGGGACATGTGAGTGTGGGGGAGTAAGCAGAGTGGAGGGGAGAGGGAGAGGGGAATGGTGGGATGATGATGTGAGAGGTTTATGTCCTTTTTTTTATATGTAGTGTGCATGCATGCAGCCCTCAACATTCAAATTACCCCTATCCAACCAACCCTCCCACCCTCCCCTCTGCCCTCTCACCAGGCGGACTTGACGCGGCCTTCCTCATGCCCATAATGTTTTCAGCACTTCCAGTTTTAACCAATCCAATGCACGCACGCATCACACCCATCCTATCAGATGCTGCCACACGCAGCGTTCCCGGCTCAAACCTTCCCCACGTACCCAACCCTTCCCTTCCCCTCATCCAATGCACCATCCTCCAGGCGGGTTTGACGCTGTCCTGCAGCCATCCTATCAAATGCCGCTGCACGCATCATTGAGTTTTGAGTTGACTCAAAAGTCAACTCGCTGCACACAGCATTTTAAGCGCTCCTCCTCCCTCCCCTGCTCCATGTCCCTTCCGCCCTGTCCACTCAGCACCACCCTCTCCCCACCCTGTTCCCACGCGGTCTTGACGCAGCCTTCACAGCCATCCCATCAGATGCCGCGGCATTCACGTGGTTGTGGCGCTATCTAGACACGGCCTGACCAAGGTGAGTGCCAGTTGGTCGATAGAAGCTGAGGTGAAGCGGGGTGCTATCAGGATAATGCACGGGGAGGCAGGAAATGGGGAGAGTGCATGCTCGGCGATAATGCGCGCAACGTTCCCGTACTCGTCGCTCTCTCCCGGCGCTGCCTCGCGAAGGTGAGTGCAGGCCACAGAATGAAGGGAGTTCTCTCTGGTGATCAACTGTGGTAACCTCGTTTGCTGGCTTCATTTGGTAACCTCACCTGGTAACCTGCTGGTGGAGGCAGATGGATGGGGGCAGAGAGGGGCAGGCAACACACCCGCACCCAGGCTGCGCGAGGTGAATGCAAATGAAGGGAGATGATGGCAGGTGCAGTGCAGACAGGTATGATATGTGCAGCAGAGGTGTCGCAAGGCACAATGGACCAAGCGCAAGGGGGGAAGAGGGACGGACGGGGAGAGCAGACAGGAACCCTGCACCCTGCCACACGCGCGCACCCTCTCCCATCCCACCAGACAAGGCCCACCGTCCTCCCCTCTGTGCGCGAGGGAGATGGGTGAAACGGATGGGGAAAGAAAGAATTTCCGACACCCTACTGGTGGCACTTCAGGTTGTGTTGTGTTCCCCTTCATACAGTGTATAAGCGTAAATTATATGTTTGAACTTGGAAATGACCTAGAGAAATGCAGGGGTAGCAGGGATGGGATGTGAATCAGGGGATAGTGCAGTGCAGGGGTAGCAGGGATGGGATATGGTGAGGGGAGGGAGATGCAGGCAGGGGAAGGTGAGGGGGGCGGTGATTATGGTGATTAGTTCACGGGTGTGTGGAGGGAGGGCCAAGTGTGTGGTGCTGGTGCCCAATGTGGAGGAGGTGCCTGGGGCAGGTGCGGGTGGGGGGAGAGGGGGGCGGTGATGGTAAAGGTTGTGATTGTGGTGGGTAGTGCCAAGTGGTGCTGGGAGGGAGGGGCAAGTGTGTGGTGCTGAGAGGGAGGGCAAGTGTGTGGTGCTGGGAGGGAGGGCAAGTGTGTGGTGCTGGGAGGGAGGGCAAGTGTGTGGTGCTGGGAGGGAGAGCCAAGTGTGTGTGCAAATCCCAGAAACCCCTTGTCTCCAAAATGGCCTCCTTGTGTAAACTGGTTTCAGCGGACGGGAAAAACCCTATCATGCCTTCATCAGTACAGCACAATTCAGAACTCAAGACACAACGAGTCTGGTAGCAGCAAAAGTAGCTAGACTACCCTTGAGATCTACATACAAGAAACCCAACCACCAATATTCCAACTAGGAAGGACAATTGCCAACAAAGCAATGAAGCAACTTCAGGGTGCCAAGTCAGCCTTCAGGAAGTTCTTCGACAACATTGGCAAGTGACTTTGGTAACCGCGCCCTTACAAGTAACCGCTGAAGGTTACGCGCACATTTCCATGCAATCATGATTCTCAACACATAAAAACCGAGAGACAGGAGACGGCTTTTGAAGCGCCTAAAAAAAAATCCAGTTGTGTGTGGTGCTGGGTAGGAGAGGCAAGTGCGTGGTGCTGCCAGCCAATGTGGAAGAGGTGTCTGGGACAGGTGATGTGAGGAGAGGAGGTGGGGGAAAGGGCTGGGCAGGGGGTTGGGAAGGATGGTAGGAGGGTGATGATGTAAAATAGTTGTTACAAGTCTCAAGATTCCCTCTCACATAAGCATTATTTTGAACTGTTGAAGCTGACTCAAGAATTGTTTTCGGGTACGGAGCATTCATCATCAACCACCCTATCCACCCACCCACCCACCCACCCCACCCCCCCTTCCGTCCTGTCCCATAGGCGGTCTTGATGCGGCCCTCTCATCCTATCCCCGTGCTCGTGGCTCTCTCCAGACACCGTCTAAAGGCGGGGAAGGTGAGGTGGGGAAGGTGAGTAGAGGCTGAGTTATATGAGAGGGAACAAAAGCACGCAGCATTCCCATGGTTGTGGCTCTCTCATGACGCCGAGTTGCCAAAATGAGTGGAGGATTTAAATGTGGTGGGGTGTGGTTCTATCAGGCAACACAAGATGAGGTGAGGAACGTGGGGGGCTTGTGCATGCGTTAGGGATATTGCACGTAGCACCCCCGTCGTCGTGGCTCTCTCCCGACGACGCCTCGCCAAGGTGAGCGCAGGTGTTGAATGTGGTGAAGTGTGGTTCTATCACGTAGCACACAAGCAGGTAGACAGCCAAGCCATGGGGGAGGCACGCGGCACTCCCGTGGTGGGTGGCTCTCTCCAGAACAGACACCGCCTGGCCAAGGTGAGGTGGACAATGTGAGGAGGGGAAAGTGGCGGGTGCATACGCGAGGGGTACTGCTCGCAGCATTCCCGTACTCATGGCTTTTTCCAGACGCCGCCTGGCCTAGTCGAGTGCAGCTGTGTGCCGGGTAACACACCGTAAGGTGAGGGCTGGTGGGAGGCCATGGTTGACGTGAGAATGGGGGGGTGCAGTGAATGAGGGGTAGTGAATGCAGCCCTTCTGAGGCCGTGATTCTTACCCGGCACCGCTGACCAGTAGAGTGCAGGCCGACGTGACGCTACAGCATCAACAACCATGGTGTGTGAACCAGGCAACGGTGGGGTGGTAATGCTATCAGGTTCCTCTCCCGGCGACATGTGCATATAAGGTTGAGGTGGACAATGGGGGTCGTGCATGCGTGCAGCACCCCCATGCTTGTGGATCTCTCCCCTGGTAAAGGGAGTGCAGGCTGAGGTGACTCCAGGTAAAGGTGGGTTGAAGTGTTACTCCTAACAGATATCACACATTGAGGTGGCTATTTCTTACGTTCCGAAAGTACATATGTGTGGGGTAGTGTACACACCATTCCCATGCCCTTGCCTCTCTCCAACCGCCGCCTGGCCAAGGTGACTGCATGTCAAGATGGAATGTCCAAGTGAAAGTTTATTGGAAAAACGACTCGGAATGGTTCCGGATGCATGCACAGCCCCCAGCGCATTGCACCCACGCCTCATCTTTTCCACTTCAATCCTACCATCTCCTCCTTCCCTGCCAGACACTAAACCGCCCATGATGTTGTGTGAGTGCCGTGGCCATTTCAAACGAGAATGGGGCACACAGGCTGCTCAAGAGTGTTTTGGCAAGAAGGGAGTTATGGTGGCAAGGAAGGAGCGGCAGAACGGGCAGGAGGCTGTTGGTGCGTGATTGTAGTGCGTGTACTAAACTCGCCCACACTTAAATGGGGCACACAGGTTGCTGTAGAGTGAGCTGGCAGAGGCAGCGCGTGGGGGTGGGAATATGGCGGGAGGGGCAGGAGGGGTATGCGTGAGTTTCCCTCGTGTGCACGCGGATTGGGCACACAGGCTGATGAGGAGGAGCGAGCTGGCAGAGGCAGAGGGGGGGAGACAGGTGTGGTGGGAGGGGAAGGTGCAGCGGGGCCTACAGTTACGAAAGGAAGGGCAGGAGGGGCAGGAGGTCCGTGGGTGAGTTGTGGTCGTCCACACATTCATACGTCACACAGGCTGCTCAAGTTCCTCCATCCCATCTGCTATTTCCTCACGCCTTCAAATCCCACCACCATCTGACTCCCACCCAGCAACCATCTGCTCACTCCCACCACTACCTTTGCCATGCAGGAAAGGATGCAAGAGGGCCAGGCAGCCTGACTGGAGCCAAGGCTCGCACAGTCGAATGAGCAGGAGTCCTGCAACAAGGGGGAGTGTCTGGAAACAACCAGCCTCTTCAACCCACCACCATCTTACTCCCGCCACCACATCTGCATGCAGAGAATGAATTCGGCTGGGGTCAGAAAGAGGTCCAAGCAGCCAGCCAGGCTGCAACCAAGGCTCGGTACATTCAAATGCAGAGTCATGCAAGGAGAAATACCAACAAGACGGACTTATGCGGGCGTTTTGGGTTGTGTGCGCCCTTCGTCTATTACGGTATATGTTCGAAGCGGAATGTGTAGATGACATAAGTGCACTGCACTAGCTAAATTTAAATGCGTGGTGCGTGAATGATTACCCGCAAGAAACACACTGCAACGGGAGCGGGGATTTTACAAACTAGAAAGCTACATAGTACCACAATGCCCTACGAATGTCAAAAATGATGGCCAAATAGGCAGACTTGAGCTAGGCGAGGAAACAGGGGTAAAGAGGCTTGGAATGTCAGGAAAGTGGTTCGGGGGCGACTCGGAAGTGGTTCGGGGCGAAATTGCAGGCCGACCCAATTGAAGCGAACTCCTCGGAACATACAAGCTAAAGTTGCCTACAGTAATATATCCAATACAAACATAATAAACTGAGTTCCAGGAAAATAGCCCCCAATTGATTTCTCCAAAAATTCTGCAAGCTCCCTTGCCAAGTTCAACCATCGTGGGTAGTCATTCACGCACTACAACGCATACGAACTTACCTAGCTAGTGTTACGTAATTTGCACATACCACTTTTAATGTTTTATTGACGATGGGGCACACAACCCAAAATGCCCGCATTGGGTTATTGTTGCTAATTCTCCCCCCCACAACTCTCATTTTGACTGTAATGAGTGTTGGCTGCAGCCTGCCTGGTGGACCTCTTGCTGCCCCACCGGGCTTCATTTCCTGCGTGTCAGAGATGGTGGTGGGAGCGAGATGGTGGTGGGAGCGAGATGGTGGTGGGAGTGAGATGGTGGTGGGAGCGAGATGGTGGTGGGAGCGAGATGGTGGTGGGAGCGAGATGGTGGTGGGAGCGAGATGGTGGTGGGAGCGAGATGGTGGTGGGAGCGAGATGGTGGTGGGAGCGAGATGGTGGTGGGAGCGAGATGGTGGTGGGAGCGAGATGGTGGTGGGAGCGAGATGGTGGTGGGAGCGAGATGGTGGTGGGAGCGAGATGGTGGTGGGAGCGAGATGGTGGTGGGAGCGAGATGGTGGTGGGAGCGAGATGGTGGTGGGAGCGAGATGGTGGTGGGAGCGAGATGGTGGTGGGAGAAGGCCCTCAGAGTCGTTGTGAGACACCCTAAGCCCTCGAGGCAAACCCTGTGGCCCTCATGCCAGGCCGCATAGCAGGCCAGACCAGGGCAGATCAGACCAAGCCAGGCTACACCAGGCCATACCAGGCCATACCAGGCCATACCAGGCCATACGAGGCCATACGAGGCCATACCAGGCCATACCAGGCCATACCAGGCCATACCAGGCCATACCAGGCCATACCAGGCCATACCAGGTCATACCAGGCCATACCAGGCCATACCAGGCCAGGCCATACCAGACCATACCACGCCAGGCCATACCAGACCATACCAGGCCAGGCCAGGCCAGACCAGACCATACCAGACAAGGCCAAACCAGGTCACAGCAGACCAGGGCGGGGCATGCCTGACAAGGCCACAGCAGCTCAGTCCATGCAAGACCACACCAGACAAGGCGTACTGATGTTGGGATGCTCATCGTGTCCATGCAATGAAAGAGATGGACTTGATTTGAGTGGCATGCGGGAGGATGCAGGCAATGAAGGCTTGCATGTGAGGGGAGAATATCTCAGTGTGTGCTGCAGTGCTGCTCCTCTCGGCAGGTTGCCCTCCTCTTCTCTCCTCTGAGGTCACCAGCACTCACCACAATGCAGTTATGAATTGAGTAAAGCAGGATCAGAGAAAGGGTATTGCAGCTCCATCTTCACACTGCACCACCACCACTCTACCCACTTAATGCGCGAACCCCTCCCCTGCTTAATTCAGCTGCTGACTCAGCTGCTCCTGTTGTTTGGCATGCTCATAGTGCCCAGCTGACCTGGAGGGGATCCTGCTGAGTGAAGATCCTGCATGGGTGAAGGGCAGGAATGAGTGAATTGCATGCATGAGTAGGTTCAGATATGCAAGGGTTGTGCATCGAGGGAAGCAAGTTTGGTTCCAAAATGACAGTGTCGTGAGATGTACACTGTAGGATGATGTACGGGATGAGATGATGTATGGAATCAGATGCGCATGGGAGGCCGCCTTAGTTGTATCTTCCCCAACTAGATTGCACAACATGGCTTCTCTTATATGATTTCTAAGTGCAGCAATCCCTCATAATCTGATTGAGTTTAGCTTTTGCAGGGCTAAGTAATGCCATTCGTGCCATGCACTTGCTGCTCAAGCCACCACCACACCCCATTCCATGCCATGCCATCATTGTGAGACGACTGTTATCATGCTCTCCAACCCCTTACGATACGCCTGCCTCTTCCTTACCCTACCAGCCCCCCTTGTCCGTCTCCCCCAAGTCCTCCCTCCAACCCCACAAACACAATTCTCCTCCACTCCCAGCCCCCCTCCTCAAAGTGCATTCACCTAGGTGTCTGACTTGGGTGTCTGACCCGTCCCAGCAAGTCATTCACCCAACTCTGACTTGCTGTAGCAGTGCCCCTCCACGCCCGCCCTACTGAAATTGCTAAGGTGGCAGTGAGAGATGCAGGGAATGGGAAACATGGAAAAAGGGCAAGAGAAGCAAGAAAAAGGGGGTTGGAAACTAGTTTGGGGGTGTTTGCAGAGGGGGGTGGACAGAAGGACTGGCAATGGCATGAGAATAAAGAGGGGCATGGATGGAAGAGGAAGCGAATGGAGAAGAAGAGTGGGGATGATTGAGATGCAAGAGGCAAAGTGTGCTGCTTGTTCGTTTTCGGGTTTCCCCGCTTGCTACAAGGCTGTTGGGGGAGAGATTGACAAAATCTGGTCTGGAGCTGTTGAGAGAGCCAAAGTGCCCTGGTGGTGCTGGCCGGTGCGCTCTGGCAGTTTCTGGCCAGGGTGTTCGGGGAGCTCCCAGGGGCAGTTGCAGTGGGCTGTGAGGGCCCAAAAACGGGGAGAGAGGGTAGGGCGAGGTGAGAGCGGGGAGAGGGGAGAGGGCGGGGAGAGGTGAGAGGGTGGGGGAGGTGAGAGGGCGGGGGATGTGAGAGGGCGGGGGAGGTGAGAGGGCGGGGGAGGTGAGAGGGCGGGGGAGGTGAGAGGGCGGGGGAGGTGAGAGGGCGGGGGAGGTGAGAGGGCGGGGGAGGTGAGAGGGCGGGGGAGGTGAGAGGGCGGGGGAGGTGAGAGGGCGGGGGAGGTGAGAGGGCGGAGGAGGTGAGAGGGCGGGGGAGGTGAGAGGGCGGGGGAGGTGAGAGGGGGGATCCCTTCTAGCTGCGCACGGCCTGCCCTTTTGAGACGAGTCAAAATTCGCCTGCCCTTTATATCCAACATTTTGAGAATGGACCGCGTGCCCCACCTCCTTCAACTCCGTTAGCACGCGCCTCCGCATCGCTCCCTGTGCGTGGGAAAGTTAATGGGGACGGCTTATGGGGATGAGGAGGGGAGAAGGGGGATGAGGAGAGGGGAAGGGGCGTGACAACAACAGGGTGAGCAAGTGCGATCAGCAAGTGAGGTGAGCAAGTGCAATCAACAAGTGAGGTGAGCAAGTGCGATCAGCAAGTGAGGTGAGCAAGTGCGATCAACAAGTGAGGTGAGCAAGTGCGATCAACAAGTGAGGTGAGCAAGTGCGATCAACAAGTGAGGTGAGCAAGTGCAATCAACAAGTGAGGTGAGCAAGTGCGATCAGCAAGTGAGGTGAGCAAGTGCAATCAACAAGTGAGGTGAGCAAGTGCGATCAGCAAGTGAGGTGAGCAAGTGCAATCAACAAGTGAGGTGAGCAAGTGCGATCAGCAAGTGAGGTGAGCAAGTGCGATCAACAAGTGAGGTGAGCAAGTGCGATCAACAAGTGAGGTGAGCAAGTGCGATCAACAAGTGAGGTGAGCAAGTGCGATCAGCAAGTGAGGTGAGCAAGTGCGATCAACAAGTGAGGTGAGCAAGTGCGATCAACAAGTGAGGTGAGCAAGTGCGATCAGCAAGTGAGGTGAGCAAGTGCGATCAACAAGTGAGGTGAGCAAGTGCGATCAACAAGTGAGGTGAGCAAGTGCGATCAACAAGTGAGGTGAGCAAGTGCGATCAGCAAGTGAGGTGAGCAAGTGCAATCAACAAGTGAGGTGAGCAAGTGCGATCAGCAAGTGAGGTGAGCAAGTGCGATCAGCAAGTGAGGTGAGCAAGTGCGATCAACAAGTGAGGTGAGCAAGTGCGATCAACAAGTGAGGTGAGCAAGTGCAATCAGCAAGTGAGGTGAGCAAGTGCGATCAGCAAGTGAGCGTTCCATGACGTGCACAAGTCCGTCTTGGCAAGGGGAAGTCTGGAGGGGGCGCACCATTCGGACATGACTGTCGGCCCACCACCACCACCACTGTTCACTAGGAAGGAATTGCAGTCGAGATGCTGAAATGCCGGCAATGTCAAACATGCCACTACCTTATCGAGTCGCGCGACGCTGCTCAATTTGCGCAGCGCGCACCGAGCACGTGGGAAATAGGGGAAAGAATGCGACGGACCAGTGCCTTCTGAGAAGTTATAGAAAGAAAAGGGTGCAGAAGGAAGGCGGGAGTAAGTACGCCTAGTGGTTCTGAAGTGTGCGGAGGTGGGGCAGAGCGGGGCACAGGACAGGAAGGGTAACGAGAAAGTAAAGGAGCAAGGGCAGCAGCAGGGAGGAAGATGCTCGCTTGGCCCTTCTTGTACGCTCAAAGGTTCTCAAGGGGGTGGGAGAAAGGGGCAGGTGATGGGAAGGGTAAGGGGCAAGAGAAGCAGCATGAGGCAGCATGAGGCAGCATGAAGCAGCATGAGGCAGCATGAGGCAGCATGAGGCAACATGAGGCAACATGAGGAGGTGGAAGAAGAGGTTGCTTGTGTCTCTCTTGTATGCCCATACATGCGTCGACTAGAAAATTTATTTGGTTCTGGAGCAAGGACATTGAGAGCTGGGGAATGGCATACCATTGAAGTTATGGAGCAAAAAGACACTCCTCTCCTCATCACCCCCTCGCAGCTGCAAAGCCACTTTGTTTGGACGCCGAGAGGCAAGAGGAACCCTGTGAGGTCAATTGTGCACAACACACACTGTCAATGTTCTGGGTTGTGTCTTCCAAACCCTGTGAGGAACCCTTTGTTCCTTCCTCGTGCTTTCTCCACTACCCCACCATCTCCCCCTCTCCCCCTTGTGCTTTCTCCACTACCCCACCATCTCCCCCTCTCCCCCTTGTGCTTTCTCCACTACCCCACCATCTCCCCCTCTCCCCCTCGTGTTTTCTCCACTACCCCATGGTCATGGGCATGTGTGAAACGATATGGGTGAATGGGCATGTGTGAAACGATATGGGTGAATGGGCATGTGTGAAACGATATGGGTGAATGGGCATGTGTGAAACGATATGGGTGAATGGGCATGTGTGAAACGATATGGGTGAATGGGCATGTGTGAAACGATATGGGTGAATGGGCATGTGTGAAACGATATGGGTGAATGGGCATGTGTGAAACGATATGGGTGAATGGGCATGTGTGAAGCGACATGGGTGAATGGGCATGTGTGAAGCGGAGGGAGAGGGGGATGCGGAGGGAGAGGGGGATGCAGGGGATGCGCCGCCTCACAGCTCCCTGCTCCCATGCGTCGTTCACCCTGAGGTCCCCGTCTCCCCATCCCCCCTCTCCTCCTCCCCCATCCACCCCTCCCCCATCTCCCCCTCTCCCCGCACTCGCGCTGCTGCGCATGCTGCCACCTGCGCGTCCGCTGTTGCCTACGCGCTCGGACTGCCGCCCACGCTCGCGCGCCTGTCTCGCCGGTACCACCATGCGTTTCAAGTGGCTCGCTCGCTTCTGATTCGGTGTTTGCCTCTCCGTCCCCTGCCTCACACCAATGCTCTCCCACGTTGCTGCCTTCACCCATCCCTCCACAGCGCGTCTCCATGCAGCCTCTCTCGCGCACGCCCTCTCACAAATTTCCCCCGTTTTCCCCCTTTTCCCGCCCGTCCCCACCTGTCCCCACCCGTCCGCCTGGGCCTTCTCCCCTCTTCCGCCCTCCTGCCCCCCGTTCTCCCACCCCTCGCATCATTTCCGCCGAACCCAAACCACACGCGCTAGTATCCAGCTATTCCCATCCCCTCCCTGCGACTGCCCTCCCCGTTCCGCCTCCCCTTCCCCCTCCGCGCGCCCGCCCGTTATTTCTGGCTCCATCTACGCTCAAACCAATTTCTGCGGGCTCTCGCGGAGGCGGCGGTAGAGGCGCGCGTGCAGCGGGAATGGCGGCAGTAGTGGCGGGTGTGGCGGCAGTAGTGGCGGGTGCGGCGGCGGTTGCGACGACGAGGAATGATCCAGGCGGAGCGCAACTGGCGCAGGCTTCCACCGCCTCTTCGCGCCGCCGCCGCCGCCGCTCTGGCCTGTGCTGCTCGCAGCGACGGTTCTGTTTCTGTGACGCCGCCGGGAGCCCCGCCTGCGCGCGCGTGCTTTGTTGCCACGTGCTTCCCCCATCCGCCATTGCTGCTGCTCCTCGCGCCTCTGCTGTCGCGGCTCTCCGCCATCGCGAATCAGCTTTTCTTGCTCTCGTCGTCTACTGTCGCTCTGCCTGTTGCTGTTTGTCGTCTACTGTCGTTCTGCCTGTCGTTGTTTCATCGTCTACTGTCGCTCTGTTTGTCACTGTTTCGTCGCCATCTCGTCGCCCTGTCTGTCATTGCTTCGTTGCCGTCCGTCGCTGTCTCGTCGCCCTGTCTGTCGCTTTGAAGCGACCGCATCGAGCTACTATCTGCCGCCGCACTGATGACCTCCCAGCTCTCACTTTCTGAGTGATTGAAAAGAAAAGAAAAGCTCACAAAAAGGCGAGGTAGTGCAGGCCACTGGCTGCACCATCCACACCCAGGGACGGGGGGAAGGATGGTCATGGTCATGGGGATGGGGATGGAGAAGGGGATGGGGACGTTGAAGAGGAAGAAGACAGGGGGGGAGGCTGGGGAAGGGGATGGGATAGAGGATGGGACTGGGGATGGGAATGGGGAACAGAAAAGGGGGACATTGTTATAGAATGACGTATGATATGCACTCCTGCAGGGTGACGAGAAGAAGTGCGGGCAGTGGTACAGAGAGGCCGGTGGGACAGGTCATGAGGGGTCAGTGGGAGAGTTTGGTAAGGCGGGTGGGTGAGATAGAGGCGGTGAGTGATAAGGTGGGGGGAAGGAAGTGGTGTTTGTGAAAGTAGATTTGTTTTGAATGCAGCGAGTGTTTGGGGGAAGGGTTTCCGGTCGGAGGTGCAGGTGGGACAGCCCAGGAGGAGTCAGAGGAAGAGTTCGAGTGAGGTGGGTGTGAGACAAGTGGTGAGAGATGGGAAGGGGGGAGGAAGAACGGAACTATGATGTATACTATCAGTCTGCGTCAGTCCCACGTTGCCACCTCGGATAACACCAGGGCAGGCATTCGCAGGGCAACAACGAGAGTGACGTGAGCATGACACGAGCTTAGGTGAAAACTGACTTGAGATTAGAGTGACTCGAGAACGACCCGAGAATGACCTGAGAGTGACTTCTCCCCTCACCTGACCCCCCAACACCTGCCCCAGACACCTCCTCAACATTAGGTGCCAGCGCCACACGCTTGCCTCTCCCATCCCCATGCACGCGTGCACTAGTCTCCCTCACATCACACCCCTTGCCCTCCCCTCCCCTCTCTCTCACCTGCCCCACTCACCTCCTCCACGTTAGGCGCCAGCACCACACACTTGGCCCTCCCACTGCGCACCGCCTGCCCCACCTCCTTCAGCCCTGCCAGCACCCGCCGCCTCATAGTTCCCTCCCTGCTCTCGTGCGTGTATTGGGGGGTTGAGTGGGAGGGGCAGGGGAGAGCGAGGATCTGCTTTAGCGTCGCACCGCCTGCCCCACCGCCTTCAACCCTGCTAGCACACGCCACCTCATGGTTCCGTGTGCGTGGGGGGTTAAGTGGGAAGGGGGCAAAAACAGGTGGAATTTCTACCCCCCGACCTCCTTCAGCCCTGCCAGCACCCGCCGCTACGTTGCTGCCTGTGAGAAAAGGGGTTAAAAAAAGGGGAGATCGGAGGGGGGCTACGGAGTGGAGGGGAAGGGGGATAGGGATGGGGAGCGGGATGGGGATAGGAATCACAATCTTCATCTCCATTTCCATCCCCATCCCCCTATCCCTCTTCATTTCCCCTTCCCCCCCCCCGCTCTGCTCCCGTGCGAGGGGTGGAGAGAATCGGGAGAGGAGCGGGTAGCAGGGGAAAGGAGAGGGGGGTGAGCAGGGATGTGGAGGGACGAAGAGGCACGTACCTCTTCCCCAACTGCAGTGTTGCTGTGACTCTTCCCACCGCTGACTGCAGTGACCGCTAGCAGGAGAGAGAGGAGAGAGTTGCTGTCAGGAGACGAACCGTGAGGGATCCTCTCCTCTAGAAAGCTAATCATCCGCTCACCCTGACAGCTAATAATCAGCTCACCCTGACAGCTTATAACGAACTCACCCTGACAGCTAATAACGAACTCACCCTGACAGCTAATAACCAACTCAACCTGACAGCTAATAACGAACTCACCCTGACAGCTAATAATCAGCTCACCCTGACAGCTAATAACCAACTCAACCTGACAGCTTATAACGAACTCACCCTGACAACTAATAATCAGCTCACCCTGACAGCTAATAATCAGCTCACCCTGAAAGCTAATAACGAACTCACCCTGATAGCTAATAACCAACTCACCCTGACAGCTAATAATCAGCTCACCCTGACAGCTAATAACCAACTCAACCTGACAGCTTATAACGAACTCACCCTGACAACTAATAATCAGCTCACCCTGACAGCTAATAATCAGCTCACCCTGACAGCTTATAACGAACTCACCCTGACAGCTAATAACCAACTCACCCTGATAGCTAATAACGAACTCACCCTGACAGCTAATAACCAACTCACCCTGACAGCTAATAAATCAGCTCACCCTGACAGCTACTAACCAGCCCCGGAAGGGGTATAAGAACCATCAGCTCCGCCAGCAGTGGTCATACGGTCATACGGTCCTACGGTCATACGGTCATACCGCAGCAGCTCAGTTAATGCACTGCACTGCTGGCGGAGCTGCTTCCGGGGCGCATGTGCCGGCAACGGGGACGAAGCACACACACGCCTGCCGCCCGTTCAGCACAGTGTTCTGCGGGTTGTAGAACACGCGCGCCGTCTCCCAGCAGTGTGCGCGGGTCAGCGGGCTTGGTGAGGAAGACATGTGCCTGCCCCTGCGACTGTCTTGCTCACCGAGCTGGTGATGGAAACGTCTCTTGTCTCCATCACCAGCTTCGCCTCCTGCCGCCTCAATTCCTGCAAGTGTGTGGCGAAGCGTGTGTAGGGAGGGGAAGCGAATGAAGAGGCAGCAAAGGGGCGGTGAGGGAGGAGCACACGAAGCAGTATGGCGTGCAGTGGGGTTTGGCATGTGCTTGCGGTGCTCGGCACAATGGGTTGGGGGTGTCATGTTTTTGAAAGCACGCGCCTGCATGTTGTTCCTTCGCAAGGGAACAGGGCCATGGTGGCATCGAGGGGTTCAGAAGTCGTGAGGCAACACGCGCACAGTGACCCACGCGGTGGGGGTGAAGGGGCGTGGGTGGGGTGCGGGTGGTGAGTGCTCAGGAGCCAGTACGGACGAGAGCATGCAGCATAGATACATGTGTGTGCACGTGTGGGTGTGAGGGACGTGGGAGGGGCGAGCGACCCCGATGCAAACATGTGCCTTTTTTGGAACCAGATTTTCACTTTCCCCTCTAGTGTTGTTCGTCTTCCTATCATTCCGCCCATTCACTCTCACACACACATCAGCCACACGCACCGCTGCCAACCCTCCCCTTCGCTCACCTCCTTGGCTTCCCGCTCCTCACGAGCAATACGTTCTTTCTCCAGTTCGCCAGTAGCCGCTCCTCCGCCTCCTCCACCTCCTCCACCTCCTCCACCTCCTCCACCTCCTCCACCTCCTCCAGCCCGTCAAACAGCTTCCTCGCATACTCGTCGCTGCCCACGCTGCCCGCAAAGCCCTTGCGGCCATTGTTATCATCCGCCCCTCCTCCCACCCACTGGCCCGACCGCCATCACCCAGTTCAGCACCACCGCGTTTGTGAGCAGCGTCACTGGGGGGAGGGGGGAGGGGCGGGAAGGGATGGGGGGAGAATGAGGGGAACAGATGCAATAGTCTAGAACAGAGAGGGAAGGGGGAATGTGGCTCTCCGCCCACCGGATTTTCTGTCATCAGCCAAGTGAGCACGATGGGGTCGACAGGTGGGTGGGGGGGGGGGGGGAGGGGCACTGGGAAAATGGGGAACGGGGAGCCAAGGGAGGCTGGGGGGGAAAAAGGAAAGGGAAGCGGGAGGCTGGGGGGGGGAGGGTGTGTGGGATCGTGAATGGCGCATCGTTGTGTGAGGGAAAGGGCTACACTGCAGGCAAAGGCGGAGGGGAGAAGGGGCACTCACACTGCACGAAACGGACCACCACTGGCTTCAGCTCGCCTCTGGCGAACAGACTGCACTGCCACCCCTTCATCCCGCCAGGCATCTCCCCCACCCTGTTCCGCGCGTCGTTCGCCGTGTCTGCACCTTCAGCTTCGCCGCCCTGCGCTCCTCCTCCCTCCGCGGCCTCCCGCTCCGCCTCCTGCCTCTTGCTGACGGGGTCGACAGGTGCACTGGGGGAATGGGGAACAGGGGATGAGTTAAGCATGGTCTCGAAGTCTGCCTCGCCCATGCCGCAAGTCACGTCTCGGCGATATACCAGTCCTGCCCGCCGGTGTCCTGACTCGCTAACTGCATCCTTGCGAGCTGTGGCCGAGCGGCTGGGCTTGGCGGTTGCCGCTGGGAGGTCCGCTCCGCTGGAGGCAGTGAAGATGCTAGCGCCGTCACGGCGGGGGGTGAGGTTGCCGCGGGGAGGTCCGCTGGAGGCAGCCCTTCACCAGCCGCCCTACCTCGCGCCCTCCCTCTCGCCGCTTGCACAAGCTCTCCAAACTTCCCTCTCCTTCGCCCGTCCCCACCCCTCCGCCTGCCCCGTCTCGCCTCCTCCGCCCCCTGCCCCGCCTTCTCCCAACCCTCGCCTCGTTTTCGTCAAAACCAAGCCACGCGCGCCCCATCCTTCCATTCCCTTCCCCTCTCCGTGCCTCCCCTCCCCGCTCCGCCTCTCCTTCCCCGTCCACGCGGCCGCTCGTCACTACTGCCCCCATCTGCGCACCCTCCCACACTGGCGCGCGCACCAATTCGTACGGGTTCTGGAGGAGGCGGCGGAAGGGGCTCGCGCGCAGCGGTGGTGGCGCTGGCACTGGCGAGGAGATGATCCAGGCGGAGCGCAACTGGCGTGGGGTTCCACCGCCTCTTCGCGACAGTCCCGCTTGTGCGCGGTGCTCGCCCCACGCGCTATTGCCACTACTGCTCCTTGCGCCTCTGCTGTCGCGGCTCTCTGCCATCATCGCGAATTGGATCGTATCGCTCTCGCCGTCCATGGCCCCTCGTTCGTCGCCTACTGTCGCTCTCGTCGTCTACTGTCCCTCGCTCGTCGCCTACTGTCGCTCTCGTCGTCTACTGTCCCTCGCTCGTCGCCTACAGTCTACTTTTTCTCCGTCGACTGTCGCTGTTTTTCGTCACCGTCCGTCGCTCACTCGTGGCCTGTCTGTCTGTCGCTATCGGACCACCATGCGACGCCCCACTGTCGCCCTCCCAGTTCTCACTTCCCGAACGCGGGACCTCAATTAGCGGATGGTGGTCTGACGCAATTTAGGCTAAAACAAAGTGATCCGTTAGGAGTGCGAGTGTTTCAAACATGAACTGAAATGCACAAAACTTTGAAAGCTGAAGATTGCTACTGAATGCCCAAATGAATGTTCATGACGTGATAATATAGGCAGAGTCGACCTAGGCGAGAACCTCGGGGTAGCGAGGTTCGGCAGTCTGGCGAAATGTGCGGTGGCGGCTCGGTAGTGGTTCGGGGCGAGCGGCTAGCCCAAGCCAGCTGACCTGAGCATTTCGGAACAGATTCGCTAGAGTAAGTCTACAGCAGCAAATAACATATCTTACACCAAACCAATGAGATCAAAAACAGATTAAGGTAGATTTTTTTAATAACCGCCAAAGCATTTATACAGATGTTAATATATGATCAAAAGCGTACGAACGCAGATAATCAAGTGAAATTACGCAAATTACGAGTTTTTTTTCTTACTTATATTTCCGTAAGGGGCAAACGCACATACGTAGCCCAATCTGCCACTATTGGGTTGAATTTTTTCCCTTGTGGCAGAGCTCTGCATTTGACTGCAGTGTGTCTTGTGTTAAGCATGGCTGCATTGACCTTGTGCTGCTCCAGCAAGTTTCCTTTCATACATGGCTAAGGCTGTGGTGGGTGGGAGTGAGATGGTGATAGGAGTAAGATGGCGGTGGGAGCGTGACGGCACCTGGCGCATAGCAGTACTACCTGGCGCATAGCAGTACTACCTGGCGGGACTGATTCTTGCATCCCCACGTCAGGGTTTAGGCCTTGTCTGTTCTTCTGGGGAGTGAGTACTCCTGCCCAGCCTGCCCCTCCTGCCACAACCGTCTCTCCTGCTCTGTCTCCTCCAACACGCTCTTCAACACATTGTGCGCCCAACTAGAGTGCGCGTGAGGGAGAGTCTTACACGGCTCTGCAGGCTGCCACTCCGCCTGCTCCTTGCGCCGTGGCCCTCTCCCCCGTTCTGCCTCCACCAGCAGGCACTTGAGCAGCCTGTGCGCCCCATGGGTGTGCGCCCCATAGGTGTGCGCCCCATAGGTGTGCAGCCCATATGTAAGGATGATCTGAACTGGGAAAGATGGGTGCAGTGGCATCTGACAGGATGGATGTGCGGGTCATGTCAAGATAGCCTCGGAGACAGTTGGCATGGGCTGGGTGGTTGGCATGGGCTGGGTGGTTGGCATGGGCTGGGTGGTTGGCATGGGCTGGGTGGTTGGCATGGGCTGGGTGGTTGGCATGGGCTGGGTGGTTGGCATGGGCTGGGTGGTTGGCATGGGCTGGGTGGTTGGCATGGGCTGGGTGGTTGGCATGGGCTGGGTGGTTGGCATGGGCAGGGTGGTTGGCATGGGCAGGGTGGTTGGCATGGGCTGGGTGGTTGGCATGGGCTGGGTGGTTGGCATGGGCTGGGTGGTTGGCATGGGCTGGGTGGTTGGCATGGGCTGGGTGGTTGGCATGGGCTGGGTGGTTGGCATGGGCTGGGTGGTTGGCATGGGCTGGGTGGTTGGCATGGGCTGGGTGGTTGGCATGGGCTGGGTGGTTGGCATGGGCTGGGTGGTTGGCATGGGCTGGGTGGTTGGCATGGGCTGGGTGGTTGGCATGGGCTGGGTGGTTGGCATGGGCTGGGTGGTTGGCATGGGCTGGGTGGTTGGTTGGGATGGGATGGGTGGTTGATACGGGGTGGGTGGTTGAAATGGGGTGGGTGGTTGGGATGGGATGGGTGGTTGAGATTGGATGGGTGGGTGGTTGAAATGGGGTGGGTGGTTGGGATGGGATGGGATGGGTGGTTGGTTGGGATGGGATGGGTGGTTGGAAACGGGTGGATAGGGGTGGTTTGAGCTGGGCATGCTGTGTGCAGCGGCGACATCTGAAAGGATGCGAGAGGGCAGCGTGAAGGCCACTGGGGAGAGGGCAGAGGGGTGGGTGGTGGTAGTGAGGCTACGTCTATGAAGAAGTGTTTTGAGACATCTCTTCATACACGTGGGGTGGGTGGTGGTAGTGAGGCTGGTTGGATAGAGATACGTGGGACTTGGAGTGCTGCATGTGGCAGCTTCTGATAGGATGGATGTGATGTACGGGCTATCTCAAGACCACCTTGGGATAGGGCGCAAGTGGGGTGGGTGGGTCAATAGGGGTGGTTAAAACATTGAATGGTGCGTACGCAACGCACACAGCCCACCTCAAGACCGCCTGGGGAACGGCATGCGGAAGCGACCCACCCACTACAATTAGCTGAAAGTTATTACTGCCTTCGAATCCTTCTTCACCGCCTGGGGAACGGCACGCGGAAGCGATAATACAGCGATGCTTTGCACAATCATCATCCCCCCACTCTCCTCTCCCACCCCATTCTCCTCTCCCTTCCCCCAAATCTCCTCTCCCTTTAACCCCAAACACTCACTTGCCCCAGGCACCTCCTCCACGTTAGGCGCCAGCGTTACACACTTGGCTCCCCTTGCGGAGTAATGAAGGATTCGAAACGCAGAATTCCCCTTGCTCCCCTTGCTTGCACACCAGAACACCAGAACCGGAGGGTAACTTCCAACACACTTGGCTCCCCTTGCTTGCACTCTATTCACTGTCAACACTCCCTCCCGCCCCCTCACCTGCCCCAGGCACCCCTTCCACTTGGGGGTAAGCAGCAGGCCTACTTCAGCAGCACATTGAGCTCGGGGGTGAGCACCACGTGGTGGGCGCACCTGGTGCTGCTGGTGCTGGTGGTTGGGGTACGCAGCAGGCCCACTTGAGCAGCGCGCTGAGCTGGGGGGTGACCACGTGGTGAATGAGGAGTTTGAGGTGGCGAGAGAGGAGGAAGGGGGTATGGACCAGCATTGCTGCCAGCAACGTAGCCAGCAGTGTGTTCATCTCGGGGATGACGATGTGACCACGTCACCACCACTTGGTGGGCGTACCTTGGGTTAGCGGTTGGAAGAGAGAAAGACAGACAGACAGCAGGGAATAGTGGCAGGGAGGGGAGGGTATGCCGCAGCAGTGCAGCCAGCAGTGTGTTCACCTGTCTGCAGGGTCACTCCCGGGTGGGCGTGCCGGAGAGGGGGGCAAAGTTGACGTGAGGAAGGACGTGGGTGTGAGGGAGGAGATGGGTGTGAGGGAGGAGATGGGTGTGAGGGAGGAGATGGGCGTGAGGGGGGAGACGGGTGTGAGGGGGGAGATGGGTGTGAGGGAGGAAATGGGTGTGAGGGAGGAAATGGGTGTGAGGGAGGAAATGGGTGTGAGGGGGGAGATGGGTGTGAGGGAGGAAATGGGTGTGAGGGGGGAGATGGGTGTGAGGGAGGAAATGGGTGGGAGGGAGGAAATGGGTGTGAGGGAGGAAATGGGTGGGAGGGAGGAAATGGGTGTGAGGGAGGAAATGGGTGTGAGGGGGGAGATGGGTGTGAGGGGGGAGATGGGTGTGAGGGGGGAGATGGGTGTGAGGGGGGAGATGGGTGTGAGGGAGGAGATGGGTGTGAGGGGGGAGATGGGTGTGAGGGGGGAGATGGGTGTGAGGGAGGAGATGGGTGTGAGGGAGGGAGGAAATGGTGTGAGGGAGGGAGGAAATGGTGTGAGGGAGGAAATGGGTGTGGGGGAGGAAATGGGTGTGAGGGAGGAAATGGGTGCGAGGGAGGAAATGGGTGTGAGGGAGGAAATGGGTGCGAGGGAGGAAATGGGTGTGAGGGAAGGAGGAAACTGTGTGAGGGAGGGAGGAAATGGTGTGAGGGAGGAAATGGGTGTGGGGGAGGAAATGGGTGTGAGGGAGGAAATGGGTGTGAGGGAGGAAATGGGTGTGAGGGAGGAGATGGGTGTGGGGGAGGAAATGGGTGTGAGGGAGGAGATGGGTGCAGCGAGGGGTGTGGATGCACTCACCAAGGCAAGGCGACAGGTGCGCGTCGCCACCATATCCCAGTGGCGTTGATCACTGGCGTTGGATGGCGCTATACTTCCTCCTCTCCCCATCGCCCTCCCCTCCTCCCCCCAGCCCTCCATCCCACCCTACTCTGACCCCAACCTCCCCTCTCCCCTCTCTAACCCCCCCCTCGCCTCTCCCCATCTGACCCTACTCTTGGCTCTCCCCTCCCACGGGCTCCCCCGCGCCCCCCGCTGCGCCCCCCCTTGAGCACCTTGTGCGCGCTCTCCCTGCTTCCCTCTCTCTCGCCCTTCCCCACCCCTCCGCCTGCCCCTGTGCCCCTCCTTAGCCCTCATGCTCCGCCTTAACCCATCCCTCGCCTCCTTCCGTCAAATTCAAGCCACGCGCGCCCGTCCCCTCACTTCCCGCTCCCCTCTCCGCGCCTCCTCTCCCCACTCCGCCTCTGCTCCCCCTCCGCGCGGCCGCCCGTCACTCCCATCTGCGCTCCCCCTCACACTGGCTCGCAAACCATTTCCCGCGTATTTTCGCGAAGGCGGCAGTAGAGGCGCGCACGCTGCGGCGGTGACGGCGGAAGAGGTGCCGCCGGCGGCGGCGGCGGCGGCGGCGGCGGCGGCGAGGAAATCATCCAGGCGGAGCGCGACCGGCGCGGGCTTTCACCGCCGCTGACCGTGCGGTATCCGCCGCTGCGGCCGCCGGAAACCCCGCCTGCGCGCCCGTGCTGCCACACCCTGCCGCTGCTCCTCGCTCTGCCACTGTCACGGCTCTCTGCCATCGCCGCGAATCGTTTTAATTGCTATCGTCGACTACTGTCGTTTTTTCACTGTCAACAGTCACCTTCTCGTCGTCAACCATCGCTCTCTCGTCGCAGTCCGTCTCTCTCTCAACGACGCACGTCGCGCTCTCTCGTCGCATATCTGTCCCTGTGACGCAGTAGCGATCGCTCCACTAGTTGAAGCTCCAAACTCTCATTCCGTCGTTCTGTCAAATATCTGGGCGAAGAGATTCGTGCTACGTCTTAGGGCGCGTGACTTCGAAGTGTATTTGCCAAAATTCGAGCCTGGCTCGAACCGTTCATTCGACGAGGTTCGAGCTCGCTTCGAGGGTTCGATCCAGGACCCGAATCCGCCACCGCCGGTGTAAACACAAGCAATAAATTGACAACGTTGCTGCGCAGGATGTTCGTTTGTGACAACCGCGACGTTATCGAAATTTGTTACCACTTAAAGTTCGACATCACTGAGCAAACCCGTCTCCAGTTCACACGCCCTTAGCGAACAGGGTGGTTTGGTGTAACACAGGAAAGTGAAATTCGCTTGAGTTTCTTCGCTTGAGAAATTCGCCAGGAAACCACAACAGCGACCTTACGAGATTGACGTCATGACAATTTGTCGCAAATCCCGCAACTTCGCGGAAGCCTTTTCTTCGCACAGGTCCAGTGGGGAGGTGGCCAGGCAGAAGCTGAAGCGTCATCGAAGCAGCGTGAGCCTCTTTCCAGAAGACTCCAACATTCCAATACTCCGCTAGTGCTATTCAATCCTAGTCCAGCCCAAGAGCGTGCCGCGTACCCAGCAGCTAGCGTGTATTTACAGCGCCATGGCAGCCATTATCCGCAGTCAAGCGTCTAACAAGCTTTATCACTACCCGTGCAACCTCCCGTCAGCCTTGTCTCGATTCTCGCATCGTTCCCACCACCCATTTTTATCTCCGCCGCTAACGTCATGGCTCCAGTGAAGGTCTACGGCATGAATATGTCGACGTGCACCAAGAGAGTGCTCACCACTCTCGAGGAGAAGGCCGTCACGGTACGAGCTGAAATTCTAGGTTTCATCGCAGCTCGGGATGTCGCTTACAGCAGCAGTTCTTTTTATGTTTAAATCTGAATTAGCTAATGCCAATTCATTCTATATTCCTCAGGACTACGAGGTGGTTACCGTGGATCTCGCGAAAGGGGAGCACAAGTCGGAAGAGTTCACGAAGAAGCAGGTGGGCGAATTTTCCATCCTACACGCGAAAGCCACCATGATTATACCTTTCAATCTTCCGTATGCATTACACTACAGCGTTTCATCTAACTACCCCTAAACTTCTCAACGTGTGGCCTGAGATTTCGCTCGTCTGTTTCCCTCCCGGGCCCTGTTATCCCGCAGCCGTTTGGAGTGATTCCCTATCTCGATGACGGGGAGGTTCAGGTCTTCGGTACGTTCGCATTCCCAACACTTCTTTCCACCATCCCTTCAGCTCTATCCCACTCTGGTTGCTTGTTTCGCTGCTCCATAGTACAAACCTCTTGCTGAAATGTTCCTTGTGTTGTTTCATCTGTAATCTATTCTTTCTAAAATTGCCATAATCTTCACCTAAATGTCTCTCTTGCTCTGCAAAAACCAGAATCGCGTGCCATCGCTCGTTACATCGCCGAGAAGAATTCCAGCCAAGGCACCGACCTTCTCGGCTCCACGCTCAAGGTACCGTATGCAAATCCAACGCTTTCCGTCCTTAGCCTGCTGACATTCCGCCATTCAGATTGGTCACCTGCTAGTTCCAGCAGTGACATTCAATCGCCTACGAGCGTGCCAGTTGAGTCAAATCAAGAACCGTCTAGCAACCAGCAAGATTCCATTTCCTCAGTGACTTTTTCTTTTCAAGAACTGTTTCAATTGGTTTCATGCTGTTCGTTTTCGTATCGTATCTTATCGTATCATGCAGGAGCGCGCGCTGGTGAACCAATGGTTGGAGGTGGAGGGGCAGAACTACAGCCCGCCCCTCTCAGCGCTGATCGCGGAGAAAGTGTTCAAGCCCATGTTCGGTGGGGGCGAGCCCGACTTGGCCAAGGCGGAAGAGCTCAAGGCAAAGGTAAGTGACTGAAAATAGCCAGCCATTGCAGATTTGAAGCGTTTGGTCTCTATGTGGCTGAAAAACAAAATCCCTTAGCATTGAGAGTGTCGTTCAAGCAATCTTATTTTGCCTTCTTCTGCTTGCCATCCCCTCATTCCCGCAGTTCTCCAAGGTGCTTGACGTGTACGAATCCCATCTGGGCAGCAACGAGTACCTGGCGGGGTCCCATTTCTCCCTGGCAGATCTGTCTCACCTGCCCTACACGGCTCTGCTGTGGGTGTCAGGGGATTCGGATCTGATCACTTCGCGTCCCAATGTGAACAAATGGTGGGAGAGGATTTCCTCGCGCCCTGCATGGAAGAGAATTTCCGCGCTGTAGTGATTGGGGGGATGCAGTTACCGGTATAACCCACTTGGCTTGCCTGTATGTACGGTATATTGTCAATGAGACAATTATTTAGCTGTGCTGCAGCTTTGTAGGTTGAAGCTCTCAGAATGAGTGTGTGAGTTAAATCATACGGTATACTAAACCAAAACAATTAGTTGGGCAAGGTTGGGCAAGCTACCTACCCAGGCAAGGTTCTCAGATGACACATCTTCATTGCTCCCTCACTAACGTAGGGTCATGGCACTTGGCATGCCATGGCTAGGATATGGGTACACAGATGGAAATGGGTGTGGAAACAAGACCTACGGTCGGTGCTAAGAAAAGAGGCGAATGCGTGGGGAGGAAGTGACGAGAATGCGTCACCATTGCTGGAGAAGAAGCTTCAATGCTGCATGTGGTGGCATCTTATATGACGGATGCGAGGGCAGCCTCAACACCACCTGGTGAGTGGTGGCATGGGGGAGAGGTTAAAGCCAGGGTCTCATGTAAGCTAAGGAGCCATCGACTACAAAGCACTTGAAGCTAGGTAACCAAGTTCGTGCTGGCGAAGTTGTCTCTGGTTGGGTTGGAAACTCAGCTTGCGTCACTGCCCCAAAAGCAATTGCACAACACTTTTGGGTACTTGAGACTTTCGATGAGTTGGGGGCATTTTAGGTTTGGGTCCGAACCAAGTTTCCAAGCCTAGATGGTTCGGTTACCCCCAGCGATTTACGTTTGCTTCGCACCCCTCGCTTCACCCCACTTCGAACCTTACAACTCGCCAACCAATCAAAGCCACACTTTCACCATCAATTGCAAAGCACTTGTAGTACGTGAGACCCTGGCTTTAAATGGGGGTTAAGAGGGAGGGGAGAGAGAGGGTGGAGAGGAAGTGACAAGCATGTGTGACCATGGCTGCATAAGAAGTGACTTCAATGCTGCATGTGACGGCATCTTACGGGATGGATGCGACGGTGGTCTCAACCAGGGCCTTCTTTTGGTTTTTGGGCACTCTGATTTTCTGAGTAGTTTTTATGCTAACTCTGAAATCTAGAGTGGTTCCTACGCCTTACTCTGATCTGACAGAGTAACCCTAGATAAAAAACCCTGGCACGTCATAGTAAATTTTTAGCGTACTCTGATCGTAGTTTACAATGTTGTGTGCTAAGTGTGGGAGTTTTGTTACAACTGTTTTGCGTTTTGTTGTCACTCACACCGTTCTGTTCTGTCACGAAGTGTATTTTTATTGGAGTCTCAAAATTTAATGAACTATCTGAAATCCTAACTAATAAATATTAGGCCCTCGGGCTACACTAATAGTCATGCTTGCCCTCCGATTCCGCATCAGACTCAATCTTCTCCTTCCCCCTTGCGCAAACTGGTACGCCGTGCGCTGGTTTCTTGGCGGGGCGACGCTTCTTCTGATTGCGCCAGATGTCAACGACTTCATGCCACACGAAGTCGTACTGGAGCATGTGGATGCTCATCAGCTCTGTCAGACGGGCGTCGTGGAGTGACGTGCAAATCCAGCTCTTGATGACGTTCTGCCTGCTGAACCCACGTTCGCACTCAACAGTGCTGAGCGGTACCACGGACAACGCCTGCCACATCTGTGAATCAAGAAAAACAGGAATGAGAATGACTAAGTGAAAGTTGGGTACAAGAAGCAAACCCTAGAAAACTGTACCCCATATGTGCTACCCCACTCTAGCCTACAGTAGCTATGTCATATAAATCTGACACACCCCCATAGGCAAAGTGGGGGAGAACAAGGGGTCACAAGACCAGTCAAGCAAAGCAAAGCAAAAAACAAGCTCAGGGTGGATCACAAAGTCACCACACATTCCGAGCACAAGTTCAAGGCCACAAGGCCAGTTCACAAGCAGGAGTACACATATATATAAAAAAGGCTAGACAAACAAGAGCAGGTATATATATATGTAACAGTACAAGCAAGATCAAGAGGTGAGCAAGTGAGGCAAGGTAGGCACAAGGCCCAGCTGAGTACAGAAGCGCTGATGGTCACAAGGCGCAAGTGCCTTGGTGAAGATATCAGCAGTGTTGGCCTCAGAGGCCACGTACGCAAGACGCAGCTGACCACGCTGCTGCAGCTCACGAGCAAGAAAGTAGCGGAGAGCAATGTGCTTCGTTCTGTGCTCCAGTCGCTGCTCCCGACACAAGGCCAGCATGGCCTTGTTGTCTACGTACAGCACTGGAGGAGAACGAGGCAACTCTCCGAGGTCAGTCAGCAGGTAGGTGAGCCAGCGAAGCTCCTGTGCAGCCATGGCTCCTGCGTAGATCTCAGCCTCACAACTGGAGCCGAGAACAGAAGACGAGCGAGTAGCCCGCCACGAAACAGAGCCGGAACCAAGGCTGAAGGTGTAACCCTGCGACGACCGCTGCGTAGCCTGGTCGTCAGCCCAAGAAGCGTCTGCGTGCCCAGTAAGGACCACTGGACTCTGCCCTCCAAGCACAAGCCCCATGCCCGACGTACTGCACAAGTAGCGCAACACCCTCTTCGCTGCAGCCATGTGCTCCGGTCTGTGTCTCCCAGGAGCAACATAGCGTGCAAGAATGCTAAGAGGGTATGCAAGGTCAGGTCGTGTGCAGGTCATCAGGTACATGAGGCAGCCAACAAGCTCTGGGTACGGGCCACTCGACTCTACGGACTCATCCGAAGGCAGAGCTGAGAGCGAGTGGCGAGTAGGCAGAGGAGTGGCCTGAGGCGAGGAGTACGTGAAGCCGAAGCGCTGAAGGACCTGCTGCACCATGTGTGACTGAGTCAGGGTAATGGTGCGGCGTGCTCTGTCCCGAGTGATCTGCAAGCCAAGGTAGCTGCGCAGTTCACCCAGGTCAGTGCACGTGTGTCTCTTCTGCAGCTCGGACTTCACGTGGGCTAGTCCAGCAGTGTCAGCTGTGGCAAAGACCAAGTCGTCGACGTACACGAGGATGTAGAACGGCGGCAAAGAAGTGTCGGTGCGCAGAAACAGCGACGGGTCGGCAGTAGAAGGAGCAAACCCAAGAGCCGCAAGTGTAGTCCTCAGTGTGTCGTGCCACTCACGCGGTGCCTGGCGGAGACCGTAGACTGGCCGCCGTAGGCTCCACTGGGTGCCAGGAGGAAAAGACCCAGTGAAGCCAGGTGGGCGACGCAGCCAGATCTCCTCGTGCAGGCTGCCCTGCAAGAAAGCAGTGCTGAAGTCAAGAGAGTGTAGCTCGTAGTCACGGTGAGCAGCTACGTGCAGCAGTACCCGAAGAGTGGTCATCTTCGGGGTGGGAGAGAAGGTATGAAAGTAGTCAACTCCCTGCCGCTGACTGAAGCCACGAGCCACGTAACGCGCCTTGAAGACAGGCGGAGAACCCGGCGGTCGCTTCACCCTGAAAATCCACATGCCACTGACGATGTTCGCCCCAGGAGGGGGAACAGCGTCAACGTAGGTGCCTGTGGACTTCCAGGAAGCCATCTCTGCGTCCATAGCTGCCTGCCACTGAGAGGAGTAGGGACCCTCTATCGCCTCCGCGTAAGAGCGCGGAGTCGGGATGTCAAGTGCATCCGGGTCTCCCTCAGGGGTAAGCAGTACGGACACGAGATGAGGTGAAGCAGCGGCCAAGCACTGGAACTCCTCCTGCCTGTCCTCAAGGACGTCCGTGCCAAGGGCACACTCACCCCCGACGGACGGAGGACAGACAGACTCAGACTCAGCAACAAGACTGGCGACGTAGTCTAGGCGACAGCGAGCAGCAAAGTCGACGAGCTCAGCAACTAGAGCAGACGCAGCAGTGGACTCAAAGGAAGGGTCAGTGACAACCGTAGCAAGGAGACGCGTGACAGTAGGACTGGCAGCGCGAAGAGAGTCCGACTCCGGGTCGGCAAGAGTAGGAAGAGAAGACTCAGGAGGAGAAGGCAAAGGGGCACGCAGAGGAGCAGTGGACGGACGCAGAGACATCCGGTGCGTGCCAGGGACAGGAGGAGGACGCTGACGCGAACCGCGACCACTAGTGCGAGCAGCACGGACAGGCGACGCAGGGCGAGACGCAGGCTCACGACGCTCAGCAAGACCTCCAGTAGGACCAGTGTAGGGAGACGGAGCAGGCAGTGGGGAGGCCGGCTGTAACTGTAACTGCGACGGGACAGGCTGTGGACACTCTAAGGGAGGAGGAGGACCAGTAGAAGGCGGGAGACCAAGAACCTGCTGAAGGAGCGGAACGAAGTACGGCCGAGGCCGCGCGGCGACTCCAGACACAGGAGGGACAGCACCAGCACCCGCAGGGGCAGCACCAGCACCAGTAGCAGCTCCAGCTCCAGAACCCCCAGCAGCACCAGTAGTACCCCCAGCAGGACTGCCTCCAGGACCGACAGCAGTAGCCTCCGCGCCAACACCCGCAGCAACTCCAGCTCCAGAAGTACCCGCAGGTCCAGCAGCTCCAGAACTCCCAGTACGAGCACCTCCGGGACCCGTGGCACCAGCTCCCTCAGAAGCAACAGAACCTCCAGTACCCGCAGCACCTCCAGCTCCAGCAGCTCCAGCAGCTCGCCTCCAGCGCCGGGCAAACCACTCACGCAGCTCCTGGGGAGAGAGTGGCTCTCGGCGAGAGGGAGCACCCGGTGAACCGCCAGGCACAGCACCACCAGGCGTAGCACCCCCAGGCTCAGCACCTCCAGGTGTAGTACCCCCAGGCTCAGCACCCCCAGACGCAGCACCCCCAGGCTCAGCACCTCCAGGCGTAGTACCCCCAGGCTCAGCACCCCCAGTCGTAGTACCCCCAGACTCAGCACCCCCAGGCTCAGCACCCCCAGGCGTAGTACCCACACGCTCAGCACCCCTAGAGTCAGCACCCCCAGGCTCAGCACCCTCAGCAGCACCAGAGTCACCAGCGACCTCGACAGGCTCAACAGCGTCTACCTGGGACACACCTGAAGGGGCAGGACCCTGAGGGGGGAGGGGGTCTACCGGGGGGGGACCTGGTACAAGGAAGAGCGGTGGCGGGGGGAGGGACGGAGTGCGGTAGGGGAA